GACACACACACAGACCCCCAAGCAGGCCCCCACCCCAAAAAGGGGGGGAGGGAGCCCAGGCCCGGCCCATTCCACCTGCAGGTGGATCACTGACTTCCTGACGGACAGGAAGCAGCGAGTGCGTCTGGGGAAGAATGTCTCGGACTCTCGGATTATAAATACAGGAGCCCCACAGGGCTGTGTTCTTTCTCCCCTGCTCTTCTCCCTGTACACCAACCACTGCACCTCCAGCCACGACTCCGTGAAGCTGATCAAGTTCGCGGACGACACCACCCTCATTGGACTCATCTCCAACAACGATGAGTCCGCCTACAGGAGGGAGGTGGACCGGCTGGTGTCCTGGTGCAGTGGTAACAACCTGGAGCTGAACGCCCAGAAGACAGTGGAGATGATTGTGGACTTCAGGAAGAGCACTGTCCCCCCGCCCCCACCCTCCGTGATGGACTCCCCCATCACCTCTGTGGAGCCTTCCGTTTCCTGGGCACCACCATCACCCAGGACCTCAAGTGGGAGCCGACCATCAGCTCCCTCATCAAGAAGGCCCAGCAGAGGATGTACTTCCTGCGGCAGCTCAGGAAAGCCAAGCTGCCTGCACAGATGTTGGTGCAGTTCTACACGGCCATCATCGAGTCCATCCTCACCTCCTCCATCACCGTGTGGTTCGCTGGAGCCACAGTCAGGGACAAACAGAGACTACAGCGCATTGTGCGCTCTGCAGAGGAAGTGATCGGCCGCAGCCTTCCATCGCTGCAGGACCTGTACGTCGCCCGAGCTCGAGGCCGGGCTGGTCGTATCACAGCCGACCCCTCTCACCCTGCACATGGACTATTCCAACCACTCCCCTCAGGCAGGAGGCTGCGGTCCATCAGGACTAGAACCTCCCGCCACAAGAACAGTTTCTTCCCCTCTGCTGTTGGACTCTTGAACACTTCTTAACCTGTCCCCCCGCCCTTTATAAAGTCACTTTACTGCCCATCATACGTCACTTTACTTCACTGTACTGCTGTCACCTTACATTGTGTGCACCATGTGCACTTGTATATTGTAAATAGTAACTGTAACTCTATTTTAAATTTAAATTTATTCTTTAGAAGTGTTTTTTATTCTTATTTTTATTATCTCTTTTTGACTGTTGCACTGAGCCAAAGCAATTTCCAAGTCTGTGACCTCCCGTTACTTACGTTGGCAATAAAAATGATTCTGATTCTGATTCTGATTCTGATTCTGATTCCCTCTCTTATTTTGTTCCTTTTTCCCAAGTGTTTTTCTTAACTAAACGTGTCATGCATTAAAATAAGCTTTCGCTTACCCTGACTTGTGTATTATCATTATATGCACATATTATTCATGTTATTATTATATTTATCTACTTATTCATTCATTTTTTATTTTATTTTATTATTATTAATTTTATTTTATTATTTTTATTTTATTTTAATTAATTAAAGGGACATAAAGAATAGATACAAATGTGTGACTAATTTGCGATTAATCGCGAGTTAACTATGAAATTCATGCGATTAATCGCGATTAAATATTTTAATCGTTGGACAGCACGAGTTTAAATTTAATTAGTACATGTATGAAGAAAGGGGCAGGCAACATAAGATTTTTTTTTTTTCTTTCTGCTCCTTTTCAATTGTGAGACAAGACGACAATTATTTGAAATTTAATTGTAATATGTGTAGTATTGTTTTTGTCTACAATTGAAACAAATAAATAAATAAATAAAGTGTCAGGGTAGGGCTTCGCATTTCAAGTTCACACGGAGCCTCGCACCCCCCTTGCGACGGGCCTGGCGTGTGGTTTGCGATGTTGACAGTTTGCTGCTACGTCGTCGGACTTTTGCATAATTATTTTCTAAAAGATTGTTGTTTGGAACCTTCTTTTACATAACTGTGGTCCTCCATGGTTCTTTTACATAACTGTGGTCCTCCATGGTTCTTTTATATAACTGTGGTCCTCCATGGTTCTTTTATATAACTGTGGTCCTCCATGGTTCTTTTACATACCTGTGGTCCTCCATGGTTCTTTTATATAACTGTGGTCCTCCATGGTTCTTTTACATACCTGTGGTCCTCCATGGTTCTTTTATATAACTGTGGTCCTCCATGGTTCTTTTACATACCTGTGGTCCTCCATGGTTCTTTTATATAACTGTGGTCTTCCATGGTTCCTTCTTCAAACTTGTGAAGGCACGATGAAAGCAACGATATCAGTAGCTTATGTAAAACAAAAACGCATTTCTCGCATTCTTTTTGTCCCTTATCCACCACCGTTTTCAAGATGGCGCATTGAAACGGAGAGCACTCCTCTCTCATGGACACTTATAAGTTAAATTCTAAGCCTATGGATACAATTCAAAAAGCATACTGGAGGTAAATATTCAAAAAAGGTCACATTTGTTATTAGTTAACATGTTTTTTCATATGGAGCAGCTGTAAAAATTACTGATTCAAAAACTCAATAAGACCCATGACTTATTTTTATTAACACTAGGAGCGCCCCTAGCGGTCAACTGACCGTCACTCACTTTAATATGCTAATTAGTGTATTCAAAACAAAACACCAGAAGGTGAAATTTTATGACTTTTACTGGGTACTTGTTGTTTATATTTTGGTGTATTTTGGTTTTGGAAAAAGTAAAGAAAACAAGATTTACACGAATTTTAACTTTTCTAAACCACAGCCCTTTCTGCTGCCCCATAGGGATACATGGCGCAGGGGCGACTGTTGTCATAGTAACCTTTCCCGGGGGTTTTTTGCGCCTTATAAAAATGTATCAATATGTTGTCACTAGACTCTAAAGGGACTTGAGTTTTTTTTTTTTTATTATTTGGGAGAGAGAAAGAGTTTTGAATTGAGAGGAGTACAGAATGAATAGAGCTGCAAGTACACGGTATGAGAACAGTCTGACGGAGGTGAGATGTCACATTTTGAGGTGGAAAGTGACAGCGGGGAGAACACCTATAATATTCTAAATCTGAACGTAAACCCAAAGTGCATTCACGGCACGGACAGCAGTGTTGTAACAAGTCCAGAAGCAATAACGCACATGACCCGCGTAATGAAAGCCATACGCAGGTGTCTGTGTGCGCGCTGTCGCTCCATTCTGCCTTTTCATTCATCATCAATTACATTTTTATATTTATACATAGAAGAAGGCAATAAAGCAGAATACAATATCGCAATAAAATAGAACAATTAGATGAACTATCAAGGCAGAGTGCAGAGAGAGCGCTGTGAGGCCTCTCGTCACCCGCGGTCCGCGGACACCTGCAGGAGGAGAGCGACTGTGGCAGGAGCGGCCCTCATATCATATCAATAAGGATATCATTCTTATGTCATCCAGATAACACTGTGTGTTATTCTGCACAGCGCGCACTGCAAGGCAATGATTATAATTTTGTTCTGATCATATATTTGTCTTTCTAACGTGTCCCGTGTAAAATTGAAGATTTTACATTGACAATGGTAGCCTAGCTGATGATCTTGTGTCAATACGAATACTATTATTATTATCTAGATAATATTTCCCACGGTGAAATGCTGGAAAGAGAAATCAGTCTGGAGATATATATGCGCTGCTATATGTGCGCTGCTATATGTGCGCTGCTATATGTGGCATATAGCAGCGCGAAGACGTTATGGTCCCGTGCTTTTCTAAACTATCATTTATATTGTTTGAATTTACATATTGTTACTGAGTCAAATTTAACATATAGTGACCAACCTTTTAGGTGTTTGCAAAGTTACAAAATAAATCTAGCCTGAAAAGTCATCGTGATTTTGATGGATCAGTTTACGCACAATGTGTCGTCTCAGCCTTTTATTTCGGCTAGAATTACAAGTACTTAGCATATTTAGACAAATAATTTACACAGTTTCATTATGATCACGATTTCCTTGCAACATCAAGTTCTGGTTTAGTGAACAATCAATTTGGCAAAATGCTGTATCAGAGCAAAATACATAGCGGTCAACTGACCGCAGGGGGCGGTGCAAGGTATGTTTAGAGCACGGCGGTCCTAGTGTTAATGGGTGGCAACGTCCTTTGCGTGGTGCGGTGAGGGCCGTTTGACGCCGCTTGCGGCTTTAATTTCACTTTGGTTTCACTCAATATTATGAGTAAAGATAATCAAAAGTCAAAACTAAAATTTACAGTGTAAATGCTGTTTCAGAGAGTTCTCCTGGTGTAATGGTGTACAAACCAGACTTAGAAGTAAAATATTTACTATTTACTTTATTTCATGATATTAGTTGACAAATAAAGATTGTATATAAAATTATCATAGCATCCTATACAATATGGATATCATTGCTTTAAGTGAAAATACTTTTAATTATTTATTTTGTGAGCATGCTGGTCCATTAATAACAAAACAAATATAATGTGTTGATCTGCACTGCAGAGCAAAATATAAACAATCCTTCTGCAAAATACTTAAGCAACATTTTGAATAAACTCATTACACCAAATAAATAATTGTATTTGATTAAAATAAACTACATGGGTCATACAACTTAATTGTCCAAATACTAAGCAAGGTTACTTTGCTTAAATTAAGCATTGGCTGAGTGGTTAGCACTCCCTCCACAGTAGCACTCTGGTCTGGTCATCTAAGATTATGTACTTTCTTTAGATAAGGATTTGTTATGTTTTTGTAAATATTGAGAACATTTCTGTCCAGCGAGAGGGCTAACTACTCAGGCACAAAACACAACAATAAAAAACATCTAGACTCCATCAACTGCTGGCTCCAGTTGGAATCCAACTCTACAACATGAGCAGCCTTTAGAGACAGACTTGAATTCCAGGTGCCACATTGGAACGGCTAAGGCTGTAAAGTGCCAAACTGTGGTTGTGTCCTTAGTCAACCCACTTCCCACACATTAGAATGAGTCTGGTGTGTGGTAATGATTGGTGGTGGGAGAGGCCGATGGCACAGATTGTCTCTGTCAGTGTGCCCCAGGGCAGCTGTGGCTACAGTTGAAGTTTATCACCTGCTGCAGGTAAAAGGCGGCCTCAGGTGGCGCAGCAGGAGGTGGTACGTCTGTCTGAACTGTCGGTTCATGATGGCGTACAACACGGGATTAATGCAGCTGTTTAACCAGGTGAGGTTCGCACTGAGCATGTGCAGGACCTGCGGCGCTCTGTTTTCTTTGTCCACGATGTTCAGGATGATGAACGGGAAGAAGCACAAGAAGAAACAGATGAAAACAACGAAGCACATGCGAGTGACTCTCTTGAACTCTCCATCCTCTGCTGGTGCAGAGGCCTCCGTTGGTGTTGTGGAGGCCTTGGGTTGAGTGTCGATGGTTTGGACGCAGGCGTCTGGCAAAACAACTGGTGTTTGAGGGTGGTTCTCTTCAGAGGACACTGTGCTGTGGTTCTCACGGGTGTTAGCTTTAGACACAGCGGCGGTGTTAACTTCAGACACAGCGGCGGTGTTAGCTTCAGACACAGCGGCGGTGTTAGCTTCAAACACAGCGGCGGTGTTAGACACTGTGGTCGTGGGGTTAGCTTCAGAAACAGTGGTTACGGTGCTCGCCATTCCACTGTGCGTCTGCGGCGAAGGAGAAAACGCCTTCTTCTTGGATGATCTGCGACTGAATCTGTATTTGAGCAACGCTCGCGAAGCGACCTTCACGCGTTTGTAGATCAGCAGGTAGAACACGCCCACACTGCCCAGACCCACAAAGAAGTAGAAGAAGAGGAGGATGGTGGAGTACGGCCGGCCTTCGGTGCGGTGGAAGCTGCAGGTACAAACGCTGGGCACAAACACATAGACCGGCCAGAGCGGCGCAAAGCTAACCACGCCTAGCGCCCATGCTAACATCACCAACAGGACGGTCCCCTGTTTGGAGAAGACTCTGTCGAAAAGCTGCCGTTTGGCCACAAGGAGGTAGCGGCCGGCGGCGAGGAGGCAAAGCGTAATGATGGAGACAGAGTTGGAGACGAAGAGGAGGAAGCCAAACACTCGGCACCAGGTGGCACCGCTGCGCCAGCGCAGGTACAGGTACGAGTCCACAGAGATGGGCTGCAGGACGGTGCAGTACAGGAGGTCGGCCAGCGCCAGGTTCACAATCAGGACGTTGAAGCGCGTGCGCAGCCGAGCGTCCAGGCAGAACGCCAACACAGTGAGGAGGTTTCCCAACGTCCCAGTGATGGTGACGCAGCAGCCCCATACCACGGCGAAGTATCGGTAACCGAGGACCGAGGGGGAGGCGCAGGAGAACGGGTCTGACTGGTTACTCAAGTTCATGGCCACAGGACTAAAACCACAGGAAAGAGAAGACGATTAAACCACAGACGATTAAACCACAGACGATTAAACCACAGACAATTAAACCAGACGAGAAATACAGTAATAAGTTAACAAACACATAGAGAAACACAGTGTTAACAAACACATAGAGAAACAAGTAGAAACCAGAGCAGCAGGAGACCAGAGGAAAGTTTATAATTGTGTTATAAATGTTAACATCTTATACTTGTACAAAACTCTTTCTGTCGGACAAACATGTATGTAGCTCATTTGAGAAAGAGCCCAAAGAGGCTAAATATGACACTTTGGGCTTATGACCTTCTTCAGGTTTACATCTTGAACAGCAGAACATTAGAAACAGAGCAGTCACCTGCTGCTAATGCTGGACGTGATTCAGCGTCTGTGAACTGTTGCTTTATGTCGTTTAGAACAATGTGACTCACATAAACGAATTGAAATTGTGATGAACTCAAAGCAGCCGGTCACCATGAGCAGTGACCCTCCACGACCAGGAGATGGACCAGGTGAGCTCCTTTAAATACCTGTGATCCACATAGTCTCAGATCAAAGGAAGGTTTCTCACCCATCATCTGTACTTCTTAGCAGGTTTTCCCGACTTTCCGTCCTTCATCTAAAGGACTTTTTTGCATTTGAGATTTATAACCTATGGGTGTGGTTAGACCATAGACTGTATATATTAACGGACATAGTCACGCCTATCTCCGCCGTTCTAACTAATGGGCCAAAAACTTTGCTCTACTGGAGCTATCCAAAATGGCAGCGAGTGGTCCCGCCAGTGTTGTGCCAGTTCACAGCTTTTCTGAACTAGTTCAAGTTCATACATGCTCAAAGTGAACAATTCACGTTCAAAGTTCACATTTTTAATTCTGAACTAGTTCAAACTTCAGTTCATTTTACTTTTTTTGGTGAAATAGTCAAATAAATACTTTTTATCACACTACGAGCTATATATATATATATATATAATATATCTCCTGTACACCCACAGGAGGAGAGCCTTTTGACTAGAAAACAGACTAGATTTATATGGTTTTCAATGGGAGCAAAACAGTTGTCCCATCTCTGCTCATAAACTACAGACAGTAATGCGCTGCAGTGCGTGTGTCTATACTTTATGTCAAATGTAAACGGTGTAATCTTTGTCGCTAACTCACCCTGTGTTTTCATCACGACTCGGGCACATGTGAAAAGCACCAGCTCACAGCGCCGCACCTCAACACGGAGTCGGGGTGCGTTCACAGACGGTGGAAACCGTGGGGATTTTTAGTTTGCGGCGGAAAAAGTGCGAGAATACAGGAGGGAGGAACTTTCTCTTGTTGCGTTTCAAAAGAGAAAACAGATTCCAACGTTTATAGTGATGTCTGCCGTTCATGACACATAAACTGAACTAATTCAGGTTCAAGTTCTTTTTTTAAAATGTGTTGCGTTCAGTTCAACGTTCACGGAAAGATGAACGTGTTCAATGAACGCGTTCTTTTGAACTCGTTCACGCACAACACTGGGTCCCGCCCACAAGAAAATGGTGAAAAAACGCATCTGCGCATGCGTCAGCCGGCACAGCTCCATTCATTTGAACGAGAGACTTCAAAAATTCACAGCAAGTAAACTAGAGTGGACCAAAAAAATTCACCCCCCTCAGCATTGAAACACATGTGGAACGGAGCTTTGGGCCAAGAGCCAACTTTTGGACCATCCTGTAAAGACGTTTTTGAGAGGTCTGCCAATGCTATATGTTAGCATTGGCTAATTCTTCTTCTGGGTCCACCCCATCGGCTAGGGTTGCCAACCGTCCCTTGAAATACGGAATTGTCCCGTATTATAGAAAAACTATGTGCGTCCCGTATTGAACTGATACGGAACGGCTTTTGTCCCGTATTTTCAGAGTCGCCTTAAATGCATCACTCACTCACTGCATGTCACACAAGCGACACACGCACACACAGTAATCACAGTTTAAGCGTCTACCTTTCGGCCAAACAGTGTCAAAGGGGGCGTAGGCTTGATCACATCCATGGGTTTACCTTTACTGTTGACAAGTGACAGCGTGGGCCGTGCATGGATCTATGGGGGCCGTGCCCGCAGCATCATCCTGGCAGAAGTCTGGTAAAGTAGCGTCATATTCCCAGATTCGGACTTCCGCGGTCAATAGCTCAAGGAAGTTACTTTGTTAAACAAAAGTAATTTGCTAAAATGATCACCTCTATGTTGATTTTTCAAATCCAATGCGCTGTTTTTAATGCAGAGAAATCCATTGAATCCAGTTCACTGCAAGCGCCGAGAAAAGCGCTTAGGGACCGTCAACCAATGTCAATACCAGCTTTGTAAACAAAAAATAGCTTTTATTGAAGCCATGTACACGCACTAAACTCTCAGACACTATAAATAATGACCATATCTAACTGCTACAGACTTTGATTTCAACATTTGTGAGTTTTTTTAATGAATACATGTTTTTCTTTTTTTCTTTTACAGTAAATGGTCTTTACTGTAACATACATAAATAATGTATGTTACAGCGTTTGTCTTTTTATATTTTTTATTACTAACAAGAATGCATGAAGTCCTTAACCAGCCAAACAGTTCCACCTATTTATGACATTTATTTTTTGCCTAAGAATTCTTTTGATTTTTATATGTAGCCAAAAAATTACATTCTAAAAACTGTGATTATGAAATTCCATGATTCCTGTGTAGATTGAAATTAGGACTAAAAAGTGCTCAACCCGATCCACCCAAATGGTGTCCCTTATTTTTTTGTTCTCAAGTTGGCAACCCTACCATCGGCCCAGGGTGGTATTGCAAGCATGTCAGCGCACGTCATTTTGGCCACTTTTTAGCTGGGACCCGCCCCCACTGGGTTAGGCAAACTCCTGAGGCAAACTCATAAACACATCAAGGTCTGTAAAGATGTGGAAGGGAGGAGGTCTAACGACCCTGCTATGGCTAACGATCCTAAGAGAAGGCGGGTTAAGATTTGTTTTGCCTCGCATCTTTGACGACGGCCTAAAAAAACACATGTACTCTTCCTTTCCCTGAACCAAACCAAATTTCTTCTAAAGGAGACAAAATAATCAATTTTTAATCTTGATTTTATGTTTACGTCATTATTATTAATTTGATTTGTTTTTAAATGGGAGGAGTTCTACCTTTAGCCTCCAAATGTAAAAGTACAATTGAAATTTTGGGTATTTTTAGTTGCTTGGCAACCAACATTCTATGGATTTGTCTCACATGAAAACAAATGTACATTTTAATAAAACATTTAAATGTGAGCAGCGAGAACAAAACTGTTTGGACAAGATCAGATCAGAGTAATGTAGCAGTGTCCTCACCTGAAAGCCATGCTCTGCTCTTCCTCCTCTGTCTCTGTCTCTCTTCAGACACTGCCCTGTGCTCCTCCTCCTCCTCCTCCTCTTCCTGACTTACACTGTTCTGCTGTTGCTTCACTTTGGTGACGGCTGATTTTGCTGCCGGGATTTTCCAAAGAGAAGTTTCAAAGTTTCACAAATGTGTTTTTTACTAAGTTCTACAAATCTGACTCCGTCTCATCTGTGTCTGATGTGTGTTAGTGTCTGATGTGTGTTTGTGTTTCTGTTTGTGTTGCCGCCTCAGTTGCATTCCATTGTGAAATAATATTTACAGCTGACGGTGCAATCCCGTAACGCCTCAAGCTGTTACAGAAGAGTCGGTATCATTAGGTTTATGTTACAGTGTCTTTGGCCAAAACTATTTCAATTTGGAAAAAACTCAAGACAAAGATCTTAAGTATAAAACTGATATATGTATTTAAAGATCAGACTCCTCCTGGTCTAACCGCCTCTCTCTCTGGTCACTTTGGTCTCCTTCTGGTCTCTCTCTCTGGTCTCTCTTTGATCCCTCCCTGGTCCCTCTCTCTGATCTCTCTCTTGTCTCTCGCTGGTCTCTCTCTGATCCCTTTCTGATCCCTTTCTGATCCCTCTCTGGTCTCTCTCTAGTCTCTCTCTCTGGTCTCTCTCTGGTCTCTCTCTTGTCTCTCACTGGTCTCTCACTGGTCTCTCACTGGTCTCTCACTGGTCTCTCACTGGTCTCTCTGTGGTCTCTCTCTGGTCTCTCTCTGATCCCTCTCTGGTCTCTCTCTAGTCTCTCTCTCTGGTCTCTCTCTGGTCTCTCTCTTGTCTCTCACTGGTCTCTCACTGGTCTCTCTGTGGTCTCTCTCTGGTCTCTCTCTGATCCCTCTCTGATCCCTCTCTGGTCCCTCTCTCTGATCTCTCTCTTGTCTCTCACTGGTCTCTCTCTGATCCCTCTCTGATCCCTCTCTGATCCCTCTCTGGTCTCTCTCTCTCTGGTCTCTCTCTTGTCTCTCACTGGTCTCTCACTGGTCTCACACTGGTCCCTCTCTGGTCTCTCACTGGTCTCTCTGTGGTCTCTCTCTGGTCCCTCTCTGGTCTCTCACTGGTCTCTCACTGGTCTCTCTGTGGTCTCTCACTGGTCTCTCACTGGTCTCTCTGTGGTCTCTCTCTGATCTCTCTCTTGTCTCTCACTGGTCTCTCTCTGATCCCTCTCTGATCCCTCTCTGGTCTCTCTCTCTCTGGACTCTCTCTTGTCTCTCACTGGTCTCTCACTGGTCTCTCACTGGTCCCTCTCTGATCCCTCTCTGGTCTCTCTGTGGTCTCTCTCTGATCCCTCTCTGATCTCTCTTTGGTCTCTCTCTGATCCCTCTCTGATCCCTCCCTGGTCTCTCTCGTCTCTCACTGGTCTCTCACTGGTCTCTCTCTGGTCTCTCTCTGATCCCTCCCTGGTCTCTCTCGTCTCTCACTGGTCTCTCACTGGTCTCTCTCTGGTCTCTCTCTGATCCCTCTCTGGTCTCTCTCGTCTCTCACTGGTCTCTCACTGGTCTCTCTCTGATCCCTCTCTGATCCCTCTCTGGTCTCTCTCTCTCTGGACTCTCTCTTGTCTCTCACTGGTCTCTCACTGGTCTCTCACTGGTCCCTCTCTGATCCCTCTCTGGTCTCTCTGTGGTCTCTCTCTGATCCCTCTCTGATCTCTCTTTGGTCTCTCTCTGATCCCTCTCTGATCCCTCCCTGGTCTCTCTCGTCTCTCACTGGTCTCTCACTGGTCTCTCTCTGGTCTCTCTCTGATCCCTCCCTGGTCTCTCTCGTCTCTCACTGGTCTCTCACTGGTCTCTCTCTGGTCTCTCTCTGATCCCTCTCTGGTCTCTCTCGTCTCTCACTGGTCTCTCACTGGTCTCTCTCTGGTCTCTCTCTGATCCCTCTCTGGTCTCTCTTGTCTCTCTCTGGTCTCTCTCGTCTCTCACTGGTCTCTCACTGGTCTCTCTCTGGTCTCTCTCTGATCCCTCCCTGGTCTCTCTTGTCTCTCACTGGTCTCTCACTGGTCTCTCTCTGGTCTCTCTCTGATCCCTCCCTGGTCTCTCTCGTCTCTCACTGGTCTCTCACTGGTCTCTCTCTGGTCTCTCTCTGATCCCTCCCTGGTCTCTCTCGTCTCTCACTGGTCTCTCTCTGGTCTCTCTCTGATCCCTCCCTGGTCTCTCTCGTCTCTCACTGGTCTCTCACTGGTCTCTCTCTGGTCTCTCTCTGATCCCTCTCTGGTCTCTCTTGTCTCTCTCTGATCTCTCAGGCTGAAAGGAAATGAAAAAGCAGCAACACAAACATTGACTGCCTCAGATGTTTGTCAGAAGAGATAAAGGTGATACATGGTGCGAACACTTATGAAAAGGTTTAAAAAGTGCAGAGGTTGGAGCTTGTGAGTTCCATTACTATTCTATTGTAGAAACACAGACATTAAACATCGGAGGCGACCTCCAAACACTGTCTTTAAGTTGTGCTTCTGTCGTTTTGGTGTGAGCTGAAAACACTCAAAGGACCTTTATTCGTCCCTCGGTGCAGGATAAGAAAGAAGAATAGAATGAGCACAAAACAAAAAAAACAAAAGTTTATTCTTCGAGATTATAAATGATTATGATGGAGAAGTCAGCTGTAGTCTGTTCATTGCTATTCACCCGCTGTCCCATTGTCTGTTTCATGGTGTGATTATGGAATCCCTGGCCTCAATCTGCACCTGTGGACTGTCTTTACAGCCTCAGTCCTGGATCTACAGCCTTGGTCCTGGATCTACAGGACATATAAAAGTTTTAATGTTTTATATTTTGCATGCTTTTAAACTTGCTTTTATATTCATTGCATGTTTTAGTGTTTTTATTGTTTATTTTAAATTATTGCTTGTTGCCAAGTGTCCTGATCTCCCCACCTCTCCAAGGACATTTGAAGGCAGCACAAGTCCACAATCAGGGAAACTGTGGGCCATGGACTGGGACCCTTTTAAAAACAGCGTTGTGCAGAAACGCAAGCGAGGAGGTCAGAGAGAGAGTGGCCGGAGAGGACGGGCGGTCTGGAGGGGCTCTCACTGGCCCGGCTGCCTGCGGTGTCCGAACGGAGCGGAATGGAACGGAAAGGAAAAGGAACAGAAAAGAACGGAAAAGGAAGGGAAAAGAAACGGGAACAGGATGCGGAGGAACAGGAGCGGCTCAGCCTGGAGAACCCGAGGATACCCAATTCCTGACGCGTGGAGCCTGGCACCCGGTGCGAGAAGCATGGCGATGAGGAAGGAGGAGTTGCAGGATCTTGAGCGTAGAGGTATTATCACACCAGTCTTCTGTAGCACTGATTGGATCAGCAGCATGGTGGTAGTACAAAAGCAGAACGGGAAACCTAGAGTGTGCATTGATCCACTCTCATTTCAAGAAGAACTCAGTCTCCAGGACGGCATTGAGTTTAAAGGAGAATGTGCTATAAATCCTGCTTCTTTCCAGAAGGACATCACCAACCGACTGCACTCATCACATATAGGGGCAGAAGGATGTCTGCGCAGAGCTAGAGAATGCGTTTTCTGGATTGGCATGAGTTATCACATAAAGACACATGTTGCCCTTTGTGACATTTGCAGAGAAGTAGATGATAAGCAACAGAAGGAAACACTCCACCCACATGCTATGCCAAACAGACCATGGGAAAAGGTGGGGGTTGACCTGTTCCACTTTGACAACAAAGACTATCACATAACAGTGGACTATTATTCCAAATACTGGGAGATAGACTTTTTGTCTTACACAAAATCTTACCACAGTGATAAAGAAACTAAAAGCACATTTTGCAAGACATGGAATTCCAAGCACAGTGGTCTCCGATAATGGTCCCCAGTATTCGTCCCAAGAGTTTAAGCGATTTAGCCAGTTGTGGGAATTTGAACACAAAACTTTGTCTCCAGGTTACCCACAGAGTAATGGGAAAGCAGAATCCGCCGTAAAAACAGCAAAAAGACTCTTGCACAAGGCTAAAGCAGCAGGACAAGATCCATACCTGGCTCACCTGGATCATCGCAATACACCGTCACAAGGCCTGGACACCAGCCCAGCTCAGAGGCTGTTGAGCCGTTAGACAAGAACGCTTCTCCCAGTCAAATCTAGCCTTCTCCAATCCGAAGTGATAAAGGCAGAGCAGGCACTGCGTGAGAACCAGCTCCGTCAGTGTGCCTATTATGACCGGTCAGGCCAGGAGACTCGGTGAGAGTGCAGCCTTTCCAGCCCCACACCAAATGGAGGCCGGGAACGGTGATGACCAGAAGTGCAGAGTTATTCGTGACTGAGTGCCAATTTAAATTGAGTTGTTCGATATGTTCAGAAGTATATTTAAAGGTGTATTTTTGGTAAAGCACGGGAAAAAAAGAGGAAGGATGTTACAATATGGTATATTGTTTGTACGGCATATATGTTATACGCCACCAGGAGGCAGACACGCGAGTTATGAACCAGAGTTTGTACTACAATGACTGTACACTTGAATGCGGTACTTCAATAAATGCCGACCCAGTTGGGCCAGAGCAGCTGGACATGTTATTTTGTTACACACCCACACTTTGACACTATGTACTTAACTATATTGTATGTTTCACAAAACTACCATTTTTCAAAAGGAGGAGTAGAAGCCAACAGTACATGTGATACTGTACAGTACTGTAAAATACTGTATATATAGTCTACAGTAGAGTTGATGTCGAAGGTTGTCATGATGGAGGTGTGGCTGGACTCTGCTTCCCTCAGTGTGAGGCCATGGTTGATCACATGATCCACCAAAGTTGCTCTAATGTCATCAGAAATATTGTTTTGTACATTCTGCCTCGTTCTCATCACTGTCGGTGTGAAAAAAGTATTGGTATTGTTCACATGTGAGTCTGTTGTGTACAAACTACACAATGTGTCTCCTGTTGTGTTAACGCTGTCTTTCGGTGCGTGTGGTTTGCAACGTTAACAGTTTGCGGTATGACGTCGGACTTTTGCATAATTATGTAATA